CTAAGTCTTGGAAGAAAACATGAAGAAATGAGGTAATGTGAGGAGTTACATTTTTTTGTTATTTATAAGTTCATTAATTAAATAGTAACAGAATTCTTAGCATTTTAAATAAATTCAGGGCCTGAATACATGGTATTCTAGAAATCAGGAGCATTTTTTAAGTGAAATTGTATCTCCTATAGGTAATCTGGGGAATTTACAATATGGCAAGTGTGTGCATTTTCAAAGAGGGAAATTTTTAGTGGAGTTCTGGAAACTAAAAGGCTAGGATTATTGATTCTTAGTTACATTATAGAGCAGCTATTAAAGAGTGATTTGCGTCGTGCCGCATCTTCAGAGAGAGGCTTTCTCTGATCACTCGTTTTTCCATCCCAGCATCCTGTGCTTTCCTTCATAGCACTTCCCTCAATTTAAAATGGTGTATTATTCACTTTCTTAGGGGCTGTCCACTGTGTAAACCATGAAGTCATGTCTGTTTTCTTCACCAGTGTGCCTCCTATCACATATGCCTGTCGCTGTACTTGACCTTAGTAAGTGAATGACTGACGACTTTCCTTGCCAGTGTTGCTGGACTAACAAACTAGAACATCGAGACAGTGTATCTTGATTTCAAGAAAAACGTGTTTTCTGACAGGTTCTTTGAAAAAGACAGAGAATAGGCTTGAATGTAGGAGCATTTTTAGCTGATTGAACAACCAACCACAGAAGACTTGGTTGATTCTCTGATTAGCTGGTGGGGTTGGTAAGAGGGGCCTGTATTCTATCGTGGCCTGCAAGGTGCCCAGCGACCTAGAAGTCATCCCCAGGGGGCAGCAGAGAGCAGTTGTAAAGAACCCCCTGCGTTTCTGAAAACTGATGAAAATTGCTATCAGTTAGCTAACACTTACTGAACACTTACAATGAGGCAGGCCCTGTATTAACACTTCATGTATATTATTTAATATAATAATTAACACAATGGCTTATAAGGTGGATATATCTTCCCCTTTTACAGATGAGAAAGTAAGTTCAGACAAGTTAAGGAACTTGTTTAAAGTCTTATCAGCGAGGGTCAGAGCTGGTGAATGCAGAAAAGGAAGCAGGTTAAGGAGCATCTTGGACAGCAGAGCATGTTTCCAGTGACTCATTGTGGCCCCTATTGAGAAACCGGGAGACACTGGAGTTCTAGGTTGAAGCTCAACTGAAGTTAAGAGCCAGTATGAAGCCTGGGTGAGTAACTAGGGCAGCTTGGAGTTGGGGGGACCAAGTACTAGAGAGGACTGTCAAATAAGCAATTCCCCATGGGATAAAGTTCAAGAGTAAAGCCCAGGCAGGGATGGGGGCTCAGTGGGCAGGGGAGTTAAGGGGATACTTGTGACAGTGGGCTGCCAATGGGGTGTGGACTGAGCTATCTGGTTTGAAAAGATCGTAATTCTGGCAGAGACGGGGAACAGCATGGACTGGGACAAGCAGCCTTAATAGAGTTCAGGTCAAGGAAGATGAGAGATCTGCTACACTTTGAACTGGTACCACCAGAGACTTGGAAAAAATAGTTCATAGGGACACAGTAGCTATCTGAAGGACAGACAATGATCTATGATCCAGGGAGAAAAAAACAGGACCAAAAAGTGCAAGTTACAAAGAGGTAGACTTTTGGCCCTGGCAAGGTAGCATAATTGGTTAGAGCATCAACCTGACACGCCAAGGTTGCAGGTTCGATCCCTAGTCAGGGCACATACAAGCAGCAACCAACGAATGCATTGATAAGTTGAACAGCAAATCAATGTCCCTCTTTTTCTCTCTCTAAAAAAAATAAATCAATAAAAGGTAGTTTTTTTCTAAATACAGAGAAAGGGCTTTCAAATCACCAAGCATTACAGTGAGGTGAGAACTGTTTCCTACAACATAGTGGAAACAGTAGATGTGAACAGGCTGTTCTCAGCGTGGACTGCCGTCTCCAGTCCTCTGGAAGGAGTGGGTTAGGTTTGGAGGGTAGGTGGGCTCCTGGAAAGGAGTTACCGCCATGATGCCAAGATGGCTAGGTGTTGAGCCACTGCGGGGCCATGGACGTGGACCTCTCCACGGGACTCTACCTAACTGCCGCCTGTGTTTGCCTTTTGTGGACTTCTGTGGGCGGGGCACATCCCCTTCCACTGGTCACAGCCGCTTCTGTCCAAATGACTCTCCCCCTAGGAAGAGCAGTGAGGACAAAGGGAAGGTTGTTTACAAAGGAACAGAGTCCAGTGGGTACTGGGGGGGAAATGGGTGGGGTGGAAACTTTTGGGTTTTTCCCTAATGCACATCTGTCTCTTCCCTTCAACCTTCCAAAGTAGGAGTGGGTGGCAGGGTGGCAGCATCGCCCTCCTCCTTGCTGTCCACCTTCCAAACATCTTCAAAGGTCACGCCACTTGGTTTTACCACCCTTTAGGCTTCATGCTTACAGATGACTTCAGCACTTACTAAGTAACTTCTGTGCCAACTCTTCCTATTATTGTGGTGTCTTTAGGAAAATTCATGATCCCTAGTTAGATGTCGACCATCTCAACTCCAACTTTTAATTCCTTCATTTTTTAAATGTCAGTTTCACAGGTGAGAAAGTATCATCCTAAAGTGTGGAAACGGTGGTACCTGAGCTGGCTGGTGTCAACTTCAAGACCCACGGAGACACAGACTGGCAGGACAGCATGGATGTGGGACTTGTGAGATGTGGGGGGGAGGTTTTGACCTTTGTGCCAGCTTCCAGGAAACCTGGGTCTGGAGCCAAAAGCACTTTCCTGTAAGCTGCCTCTCTGGGGACACCTGACACTTAACAACTTCCATCCCCCTGAAACACTCTGTTCCTTTTGGTTCTGTGACAATTATCAACCAGTGTTTATTTTCCATCATTGGTTGTTCCTGTTCAAAGACCCTCCAAAGCTTCCTCTTCTATTTGTGCCTTAAGTGATGGAATTCCCAGAGCACTCTTCTTGTCCCTCTGCTGTTCTCTGGGGGGCTTATCCAAATCTGTGCCTTCAACAGGCCCTTACATGTTTAGGGTTCAGAATTTCTGGCCTATATATCATTGGAATGTTTACAAAGTTTTCTGTAAGAGGAATATATACACACAGCATAACAAATTCAAACAGTCAAGATAGATCTAAAAATGTATACTTCATCCCTCCCAGGCTCACATTTCATGGTTAATTTTTTAATGCCTGGGTAAATGTGCAAAAACGGATTGCTCTGCACTTCCTTTTTCCTCATTTATACATTGTTCTCCTACAGTTAGATCTGTATATTCAACTGCCATTAGGACACCTGCATCTGGCTGTCCCACAGCCCCCTAAAACTCTTTCTCTTGCTGGTTTCTTTTTTACAGTCGACACCATAAGCATGTTTTTTAAAAATTTATTTGTTTTTAGAGAGGGAAGGGAGGGAGAAAGAGAGAGAGAACATCAATGTGTGGTTGCTCTCACGCACCCTCAACTGGGGACCTGGCTGGGAATCAAACCAGCAACCCTTTGGTTCGCAGGCCTGCGCTCAGTCCACTGAGCCACACCAGCCAGGCGTAAGTATAGTTTATTACGTATTAATAATTGTAGTATTTCCCATGCTAACAACTGTAAACCTACTTTTGCCCACCTTGTACCTTGTGGCTTTCCAGTCACTCTGTTTACTTCTATCTGGTTTCCTACCCAACAATCTCTGAAACGGATTTCTCCAAAATTACTAAATGTCTTACTCTTGCAAAACCCAATGGACACATTTCAGTCGTATCTTCCCTGAGCTGTTACTTTCAATCCTTTGACCAGCTTCCTTGATATGTGCCACCTGGTTTCCTTCTTGTCTGTCCTTGCTCCTCTTTGGCTTCCTTTCCTCATGGAACCCCTGACGCGCAGGCATTCCTCTCTCTAGGCTATCGTGGTCACTTCCAAGGCGTCACCAACCATTTCTAGTCACATGCACACGCGCACACCTACCCACCAAACCTTTCTTTTGGGTTCCAAGCCCACACGATCTCATTCCATTGCTTCATAAATAACCTAGGGCACCCAAAAGTCACCTTCCGATCCACAACAAAAAAATGGCACCGTTACTCCCCACCTGTTCAAGTCAGAACACTGGGCATATCCTGCATTTCCTCCCTGTGCCGCACGCCCATTTCCTATCTATTTCTCCTATCCCAGGCTCCCTTCTACAGCCATCCCTGGGCTGGGTAAGGACTTCCCAATTGTCCTCCTTGCTTCTAACTTCGTCCCCTCCAGCCCACTGCTGTCCCCAGCGCACTAGTGATCCTTCTAAATGCCGATTTCTTAGTGATTGTTGTCACCTCTGCTAAGGCTCTTCACAGCCTACTCGTTGCTCTATGGATAAAGCCAGCCGATTTACAAGGCTTTGTGTAATCGGGTCCCCCGAACTCACAGGCCATTCCCGGCTGACCAGGCCCCCAGCCCCAGTTCCCGACAGTTCAGGGTTTGGCTCGCGTGACGCTTCCTTCAGGTCGCAGGTGCTCAAACAGACGAACGCTCCGCGGGCAATGCGAGAGGGCCGCCGAGCAGCGCCCGGTGCCTCGGACCCAGGTTCCTGGACGTCCGGGTTAACAGGAAGTTCAGGGCAAAGGTCGATTCCTCCTCGAGAACCTGCCCCCGTCCACTGCAACCCGACCCGTCCATTCCGTTCTTATGCGTCACGGCCGCCAGCCCGCCTTTCCGTGGGTCTTCGAGTCGACACCGGCAGCTCTGGCGCCACCGATGTCCCCACATTCACAAACGCGACCCTCTGTGCTCCCTTGCGCGGCCCCGCAGCCGCCGGCCGCCCAGAGACGCGCACGCTGCCAGGCTGCCCGAAAGCAAGATGGCCGCCAGCCTCCATTCTGACCGCCGAAGTGAAGCCAGGCCCTGCCTGCGCCAGGCCGTCGCCGGGCTGCCCTCACCTGGCATGGCTCCCCGGCCCGTGCCCTACTGTGGCCCTGAAGCCGCCACCAGCTGGCCCACGGCGGGCCGGGTTCCGGAGGCGCTACTCAGGACGCAGCCTGTCCCCGCCCCGCCCGCCTCGCTCCGCTCCCCTCCCCCGCCCCACACCCGCGCCGGCGGCGGCGGCGGCGGCAGGAGCCCGGATGCGGCGCCGGGAGACGGCGGGGGGAGCGGCGCAGATGGATCCAACATGGCGTCGCCGAGCCTGAGCCCGGGGTGAGGCGGCGGGGCGCCCGGAGCGGGGAGGGGGCTCGAGCAGGCGGGGCGGAGCCGGGCGGGGCCGCGAAGGGCTGCGGGCTGGAAAGTGAGGGGCGGCGGCGACGCGCAGCCCGAGGACCCGGGGGAGGGAGGGGACGGCGCTGCCAGGTGGGGGAGGGGCGCGGCGAGGGGCGTGCGGGACGGCCGGCGGGGCCGGGGCGTCCGCGGGCCGGGCGGCGGGACGGTGGGCGGCCGGGCGGAGCGGGGCGCCGTCCGGCCGGGCGCGGGGTTGGGGGCGCGGGGCGGAGGTGGAGGGGAGCCGGGGTGCGGAGGGCAGGGCTGTGGCGTGCGGTCGGGCGGAGGCCGGGAGTCCCGCGAGGGGCGTTGGAGACGTGGGCGGCGGAGGGTCGGGCTCGCGACGTCTGGGGCAGGGCTTGAAAGTGCTCCTCTGGGGTGGCAGGGGCAGGGCCCGCGGCAGGACTCGGGTGGAATAGGCGAGAGCGGAGGTTTGGGGCGTGGAGAGCCTGCCGGTGTGACGAGGTGACGGGAAAGTTTGGGAGGGAGGGCAGTGGGCCGGGACGCGGGTCCTGGGGCTGCGGGCGGCGAGGGGGCCGCGGCTGCCTTCGCGGGGCGGCCCCGAGCGGAGTTGAGGGCATCGGTTGCAGCCGGTGCCCGCCGGCAGGCCTTCGCTCGTGCTAACGTGGGAGGGCAGCCGGGCGGTCAGGTGGGCTTGCAGAACCGGACTCCGCTGAGCGTTCGGCCGCGTCTGGTCTCGAGCGCTGCCTGGCTTCCTCTCCCCTGTCTTTCCCGGTTAGGAAAAGAAGGGGAACCGGGAAAGACGGCGTCCCGGGAGTGTGGTCGGAGGGAAGGACTTTTCTTGTTGTTAGCGGTGCGGGAACGCGGGGAGAGCCGTGCTGGGTCGCCGGAGCCCCGCGTGCCCGAGGGGAGGCTCTGCACGCCCGAGAGAGGGGCCGGTGCGCCGGGCGGCAGCGGGCTGGCGACATGCCTGCCTTGGTTTCCAGACCTTTCTTCTGCTGTCCGGGTGCTAGGAGGGAGGGGTCAGCATTTATGTACAGAAAACGTCCCTGGTGCACGTCTCAGCGCTGCTGGATGCTGCCGTGCTGGGTATCGTGCTCTCTGTGCTGGGCGAGGAAGAGGGCTGAGAGAGAGTTGGGAGCGCACTTGCGGTCCCATAAGTGGCGGGGTGGACGGGAAGTGTCTTTTTTTGGCTGTATCACTTTCCCCGTTCTCCTTAAAGATGAGAAGCAACGTTAATACTGTAACAAAATTAGGCGGGTCTGATAAGGAACTGGGGGTTCAGCTGAGAAGGTGTCAGGATAATTGGTTTCCCCACAAGTTGTTGAATCTGGGACCTTGCTTGCCCTGAGTCTGGGAGTTTTTGGAGTCGTTTTTGGGTGTAGAGTGACTAGTGGAGAGGCGGGGAAGACTTGGCTGGGGGTGAGGTCTTGGATTGCGCGCGGAGGAGGGTCATCTGCATCAGGAGGGATCTGAGCGTGTCTGTATTTTTGCAACTAAGATTGACTAACTCTTTGGGCTTTTGAGGTTTCAAAACAAAGCTTGAAAATTGACTCTTTTCCCTTTTATTTGTTTTTGTTTTGCTGCTGGCTTCTGACCTGCTAGGAAGAGACCTGGGAAATTAACTTCCTGGCAGAGGTAAGTCTGGAACTTTGTGATTGTTTTCAGATAGTGCAAAGGCTTGGAAATGGCGTGAGAAACGTGTTGGGGTTGAGCTCGGTAGTGGGATGGATGGCAGGTCGAAGGGGCTCTCACCTGCCAAACCGAGTGCATGGGTGTGCTGCGGTAACTGGAGGTAGGTGTGAGGGAAGGAGAGCAGAAATTAGGGTGAGCTCCCGGATCCGTTTTGTTGTTAGCTAGTCTTGGTCTGCTGTAGAGAGCCATTTTTTAACACATGGAACATTGCCTTTAGCTACATTGTCCACTAAATGCCCTGGAAGGTCGTGAACTCTGTCTTCTTGTTGTTCAGAGCACCGCTTTTTAGTTCTTCCACTTAACTTTGCTCCCTAAGGGCTTCTGAGAGAGTCAGATACCTGTGGCTATGAAAGTACAGATCTCGCCCCGGGTTGGGATGGTCCTGACTTTGCTGGAAAGCAGAAACCTGCGAATGACCAATCGAGAGGAAGGCTGGTGGACACGGACTGTCTGCAGGTCCTTGGCTGGCTGGGGCCTCCCTAAAGAGAAGACACAGACTGCAGCTCTAAGAAATGCAACAGTTCATCAGAGCAAAGGATCATTTGGGGGAGACTGAAGTGGGGACTCACATTTTAGGTTCCCACATGGACTCAATCCGCCAGTGGAGTCAGAACTCACGTTGACTAGAGTGTGTGTTTGGTGGTGTCTGTCGTTATTTCAGGCCCCGAGACACCGGAGTTATCGCTCACCCGCCGCTGTGAAGGGGTGCGTTCCCCTCACTGCTCTGGCAGCTGCGTCTAGGTTCTCTGTAATTTAAGCTGAGTTCCCTTGCTTCATTGCCACAGAAAGCTGAGTGTATTTTGGTTTAAGAGGAAGTTGGCCATGTTCTTTTAATGCTGAAGTTAGATAGGTTCTTGGAACCCCCACCTGGGTTGCTGAGTGAGTGAACTCACTGCCCGAGGTGATAATTAAGTGGCGAGGGCTGCCTGTTATCCAGCCTCCTGACTTGTCTCCCAAGGATGTGGCCTTGGGAGACGTAGGCCTCTTCTTCATTTTGCTTCATTGAATGAGTCCGAACGGCACCCTAACAGGAAGGGGCGGCTGCTGGCCTGGTCTTAGGGCTGCAGAGCTGGCCCTGAGGGTTAAGCGTAGGGTCCCTCATGTCTGTCTGTCTTGCACAGGGTGGCATATCCTCTCATCCCAGGTCCGGGTTGAACTAGGTCAGATGAGACCTCTTAGGATGGGGCCGAGGGCGTGTAGCCCTACCACTTGCCTTCACCTGAATGGCAACAGCAGGTGCTGGAGACGAGGTTGGAGTGGGATGGAGCTCTCGGGCGCGGGTCGGGCTTGAGTGTTCGTTAGGCCAGCCTGTGTCTTTTCTCCTGGAGTCGGGCGGGCTCCGGTCCCAGTGGCCGAGCGACATTCTTCTCCAGACCTCTGGTGGAGAGCGGCATGCCGTCTCTCTGCCCTCAGACCCTTCATCCTGCCCCACAGAGGGGAGGGTTTCTCATCCTCAGAACCGTCCACATTTTGGGCCAGATAACCCTTCGTTGTGGGCGACTGTGCTGTGCATCATAGGTGCTCAGCAGCACCCGTGACCTCTACTCACTGCTTGCCAGTAACACCCTCCTTCACTCCCCGCCAAGGACCGTCTGAAACGTGTGCGTGCATTGCCCAATGCCCCCTCGGGGGTAAAGTCGCCCCTGGTGTAGAGACACTGACCTCGAGGCTCTGATCGCTTCAGGCACCGTCAGTGATCCGGCCTGGGAATCGAGAACTTGGAAGTGGCTGTGTTTTCCCTCAAGTGTAGGGAGTTAACCTTCGGAGGATTGAGGACGGTCACAGAACTGTGTCCATTGCCAAGGAACGAGAGTGATTAGGACCACAGAGCTCTCCCATGTTCTGCCTCGTTTCCAGTGGCCTGTTACGTGGGGCCGTGCTTCTTCGTTTCCTGGGGTTTACAGTCAGGACACTCTGAATTAGGGAGGGCTGCAGCGGCTTGGCCTTCTTATTGGCTGAATGTGAAACCTGCCCATCTGCTTTTTTGGGAGCCTCAGAGTCAACAGGTGGCCAGAGGGAACAGGTGGGATGGGGGACAAGGAGAAGTCACCGCGGCTCTGAGGAGGCCTGCCTCTCCTGGGTGGCCTGCTCTGAGCCAGGAGCTGTCTGCTCCAGTCCCCTGCACTCACACCCAGAGACTGCGTCGGGGCAAACGGGAGGGAGAGACGAGGAAATCCAGTCTGGACTTGAACAGCTGTTTTCCCAGCTGTTTCCCCTGCGGTGGGTGGGGCAGCTCCTGATAGACGTGGGCTGTGTTTCCTGTCCACACACTGGAACCCACGGCGTGGGGCTCAGCGACGCAGGAGTGGACCCCTCTGTTCTCAAGTTCGTTGAGTTTTGGTGCTTTGGTGGTTAGGGTCACCGAGGCAGAGAGGACCAGGCTCCACTGGCTCCTGGCTGTTCTGAGGTGGCTTCTTCTATTCTCTCTCTTAACCGAGATTCAGTTTCGTGGTGTACGAAACGGACGGACCCTCTGTCTCGTCGAGTGGGGCGCTGTGGGTTGGGCGGCGCTGCCGTGTCGGGAGGCTGCAGCTGGCCGGCTGCTGCAGCTGGCCGGAGCGCGTGCGTGGTAACTGAGTTGCCTGCATCTATTTTTTACGAGGTCCTCCCAGTCTTGGACTTGTTCGAGTTCACCACCTAACGGGTGTTGCATGTGATGGTCCCTTGTAGAGGGTGGGGCCTGGCACCCAGGCGTCCACTGTGAGGCGCTCAGCCCTCTCCACGTGCAGATCGCCGCAGTGCTCCCGGGCAGGTGGGGCACCGGCAGTGAGCAGTGTTCCACGGGAACCCATGAGAGGACCCCTTACCTGCCCAAGCTGACTGTCTGAGGGCGAGGAGGAGCTGGCCTGTGGAAAAGCGTTGTGGCGGGGCGTGGAGTCGGAAGGAAGAGGGGCACTCGGGCAAAAGGAATAGCCTTTGGATGGCAGAGAAGTGAACTGCGTGATGTACGTGAACTATTAACAAACTGATACAATGTTACAGAATAAAAAGTGGGTTACCAGGTTGGAAAGTTAGGCAGGGCCAGGTCTTGGAAGGTTTGGTGTGTTGTATAAAGAGTTTGGAGTGTTTTTGTAGGTAAGGAAGGGGGTGCAGGTAGGTCTCAAGCAGAAAGTGATGTGGTCTCTTGTGCATTTCAGATAGCCAGTTCACCTGGGTGTGGTGGTGGGTTTAGGTGCCTTAAGACTGATGGGAAACAGAGCCCATAGGAGGCTGTTGGCAAAGGTCCAGGCACGAGGTTGTTGGGACCTGAACCAGGGCAGGGGCTATGAAGGTGGGAAGGTGAGGCGGCTCTAAGCAGCATCACCGGGGGTGTCTGATGGGTAGGCAGCTGGAGGTCGTGGTCAGAGGGGCAGTAAGGGTGAGTGGCCAGAGTGGAGGTGAGCAGGACTGGACCTGGGGGGCGGTTGTTGGCTGGGGCCTCAATGTCACCTGCGGTGATGGAGGAACTTTGTGATTCAAATGCCGAATCACAAAATGAATGGAAGGCTGGGATCGGCCCATGACAAGGGGGTTGGTAAAAGACAGACACGAGGAAAAGTTAGAAGGCGGCCTGTCCAAAGTGCGTCTGAGCATCCAGGGGTACAAGGAGAGCAGGGGAGTCACAAGAATGCTCAGCACAGGAGTTTGGTGGCCCTGGGTGGACAGCGAGCTCAGTGGGTTAGAATGTCGTCCCCATGAGCCGAGGTTGCAGGTTTGATTCCCGTCAGGACACACACAAGCGTCAGCCAGTGTATGCATAAGTAAATGGAACAGCAACTCAGTGTTTCTCTCTCTCTAAAATCAATCAATCAGTTTTAAAAAACACATAGGAGCCCTGGCTGGTGCTGCTCAGTGGACTGAGCACCGGCCTGTGAACCTCGGGGTCTCCAGTTCTGTTTCCTGTTAGGGCACATGTCTGGGTTGCAGGCCAGGTCCCCAGTAGGGGGCGCACAAGAGGCAACCATACAGTGATGTTTCTCTTTCTCCCTTCCCCTCTCTCTAAAAATAAATAGAATCTTAAAAAAAAAAACATAGGAGCTTAGTAATGTTTCTGGATTTAAATTCATGAGTTTTGGTGTGTGTGACTGATTAGCCTTCTGAGCAGTTATGCATCTGGACCTGGTTGGATTGGAGGAAACCTAAAGATGGGTTTCTGGAAGGATGAGTCCGGGCTACTGAGGTCGAGGATGCTTATTTCTTTGAAATCCCTTTCAGAACAATTTGTGTGAGATTCACAAACGGATGTCAACGTGTGTTTTTCTATCGGATCCTTGCCAGGCCTGAGCAGTGGTCTCCTTCCTGCCTGTTTGAGAGATTGGGCTGTGGGACTTGCTTAAGGTCACACGGCCACGTGGGTCGTTAGTGGTTCAGACGGAGCAGACACTGGTTCTCACTCTGGAGATCTTCAGTCGCCCCCAGGCGGCCCCTGACCCACCTGCAGCAGCTCCTGCGCTGAAGAGCGAACTCTCTCCTGCTCAGTTGTGCTGCACCGAAGAGGCGAGCTGGCTGCGGGCAGCACCGGGGACCGAGGGCCCTGTGTTGGAGGCCGGGGACTCTCAGGGCGACAGCTAACCGCAGCGCCTGCTGAACGTGCGGCGCTGAAACCCCACCCCACGCCGCGTCCTCCCCCGGGCGGAGTGACCCCGCTCCCCAGTGGCGTCTGGGACCCAGGGCACCATCTGCCCTCGGTGCAGAGCTCTAGGCCTCAGTTTTCAACACGCGCTCACTGGGCGCTGCCCTGTGCCAGGCGTGGCGTCAGCACTGGCAGTGCAGGAGGGGATGAGACCGGTTCTCGCCACCGATGAGCTCACAGGCTCTTTCGTCCTCACAGCGCAGCGGGGCGTGCAGGTGCTGAGCAGGGGTTCCCGAAGGCGTCGCGCACCTGAGCCCCCAGCATGGCGGGCCCGAAGCGCCGGGCGAGCCAGGCGTGGCCGGAAGAGCGGGGCGAGCAGGAGCACGGGCTGTACAGCCTGCACCGCATGTTCGACATCGTGGGCACCCACCTGACGCACAGAGACGTGCGCGTTCTGTCCTTTCTCTTCGTGGACGTCATCGACGACCAGGAGCGGGGCCTCATCCGAAACGGGCGTGACTTCCTACTGGCGCTGGAGCGCCAGGGCCGCTGCGATGAGAGCAACTTCCGCCAGGTGCTGCAGCTGCTGCGCATCATCACTCGCCACGACCTGCTGCCCTACGTCACCCTCAAGAGGAGGCGGGCCGGTGAGGGGCGGGGGCTGGGGACGTGGGCATGGGGGGGAGTGCCGGCGGGAGGCAGCACTGGCCCTGGGGGTGCCCGGGGCCCTGGGAGGCCCGTTGGAGGGTTGGACCGGGAGGAGGGGGGGGCCGCATCTTCCCGAATGACTCCTTCTCCCCCTGCAGTCTGCCCCGACCTTGTAGACAAGTATCTGGAGGAGACATCGATTCGCTATGTGACCCCCAGAGCCCTCAGCGATCCAGAGCCAAGGCCTCCCCAATCCCCTAAAACAGGTGAGGGGGTTTTAACTCTCCCAACTCCATCATCCAGAAAGGGCACACGGGCCATGACCAGCGTGGCTTCGTGGGGTGGGCGTCATCCTGCTGGACAAGGTTTGATGTCCAGGCGAGGTGCCTGCCTGGGTTGCATGCCAGGTCCCTGGTTGGGGGGTGCATGAGAGGCAACCCAACCGATGGATGTGTCTCTCCCTCCCTTTCTCCCTTCCTTCTCCCGTCTCTGAAAATAAATAAAATCTTTAAAGAAAAAAGACAGAAAGGACATGGAACCCATCATAGTCCCAGCTTAAAATGGAAGGACACTGCCTCCTTCCATAGCCCCATAAAAACCAGGTGAGGCGCTGTTGCGTCCCCTGGGTCCTGTGATTGTTTCCAGGTTGTGTCCTCCTAGGTCACATTGTGGATCCTGCATTTCCTGCCAAGTCTAAGTGATTCCTTCCTCATGCTAAGAGCAGTGTTTGAGCTTCTGCCTTTACCCCCCTGTCGTCTCCCCTTCCCCCTGCCAGTGCCTCCCCACTACCCTGTGGTGTGCTGCCCCACTTCGGGCCCTCAGATGTGTAGCAAGAGGCCAGCTCGAGGGAGAGCCACACTTGGGAGCCAGCGGAAACGCCGGAAGTCAGTGACCCCGGACCCCAAGGAGAAGCAGACATGTGGTGAGAAGTCCGTGGGTCCCAGGGGCACGCTCTCCGTGGCAGGCTCCCTGTGAGTGCCGGTGCGGAGCGGGGCTGAGCTTTTAGTTAACACCAGGTCACGGGCGCCAGCACGGCGTCCTCCCCGCTCCTCGCTGCAGGGCAACCCAGGTCGCCCTGTGTGGGGGAGGGTGCGCGTGTCCTGTGCCTGTCGACAGGGAGATGCTTCCCAGAGGCCAGGTGCCGCTCCAGCGGCCGGATAACGGGCCTGGGCGCCGCCCGCTCCGCTGCAGAACCGCCTGCACTCGAGCTGGTTCGGGGGCCCCTGGACACGGGGGAGGGGCTGTGCGGTGTTCCAGCTTCACTGCTCTGCAGCTCTCCAACCCTTTCTCGAAAGCTCATCCCTCACGGCCGTCCCCGGCCCACCCCTCCTCTCCCCCGCAGACATCAGGCTGCGGGTCCGGGCCGAGTACTGCCAGCACGAGACCGCTCTGCAGGGCAACGTCTTCTCCAACAAGCAGGACCCGCTGGAGCGCCAGTTCGAGCGCTTCAACCAGGCCAACACCATCCTCAAGTCCCGGGACCTGGGCTCCATCATCTGTGACATCAAGTTCTCCGAGCTCACCTACCTCGACGCCTTCTGGCGCGACTACATCAACGGCTCGTTACTGGAGGCGCTGAAAGGCGTCTTCATCACAGACTCCCTCAAGCAGGCAGTGGGCCACGAAGCCATCAAGCTGCTGGTGAACGTGGACGAGGAGGACTACGAGCTGGGCCGGCAGAAACTCCTGAGGAACTTGATGCTGCAGGCCTTGCCCTGACCCTCCCCTCCCAGGACTCCCCCTGGCCCTCGCCTCGGGAGCGCACAGACTGTCTGGGTTTGTTCTCGCCCCTTCCAACCAATCACACCCCTGCCTTTTTTTTTTTTTTTTAAGGAAAAGACAAAGGAAAATGGAAGTGGTGTCCCCCACCCCTCCCTGCACCCATGTGCCTGGGCTTCCCATGTCCCTTCCCACTCAGCCCGACGAGCCTGCAGCCACCTCGCCCCGGGCCCCGAGACGGGTGTGCAGGGAGGAGCCAAGTCCGTAGGACAGTGTGTGCAAGGGGCTGGAGCGAAGGCTGCGTCCGGTGCCCTGAGGGGCTCTCACATGTCTGTCTGACACACTAAAGGGCTGTGAGTCAGGAAGCTGTGTTGTGTGGAAGGTGAGACTGAAGTGTCTTTTGGAAATTAATCACCATCCTCTCCCAAATTATAGAGTTTTTTTAAAAGAAGCTGTGGCCCTTTCCACTCTCTCCTGGCCTCTGGTGCTGCTCCTCTCTGCCTCATTCCCTCCCTTTCCGGGCTCGGCCCCGCCTCTCCCCCGGCCTAACCCTCTTCCCGGAGGATGGGTGAGCTGGATCAGCCTGGTCAGCCTCCCAGCCTGGCGTGTGTGCACACGCTGGGAGGATGGGGGTGCTGAGGCGCAAACACCCCCCCTGAAGAGGGGAGGGGGAGCATGACACTTGCTTCCCCCGAGCAAGTGGAAGTAAGTAAGGTGCCCTGCAGCCCTCCCCCCTGCTTGCTTCTGGCTCGGGCAAAGGGCGTCCAGGGGAAAGCGAAGTGATTCGGTGTCGGGCCTCTTTGTCCTTCCCCGTCCACATGCACTGAGTGTTGCACTTTCATCTGGGGAGGAGGCGTGTTGATGAGCCAGTGGCCTGGAACCGGGGCCAAGTCCAGCGGGCACAACACCATCTCCTCCTCCAGCTCCCAAAGGAGGTGTCCAGACACAGACTTTATGATGATTATATTTTTTTCAATGCTAGTGCTGCTCAGCCCTCAGCATAATTTCAGTTTTCATGAAATAAACAGTGACTGTATAAAATTCCACCTTTTTGAAACTAAAATCTGAGCTTAGGTGACTTCCTACTTTCCCAAGAAGCTGAGCCTGCGTTCCTTCAGAAGGGTCACGGTCCTCCCAGTGAGGGGCGGTGCGCCTGCGTCCCACCTACACCACGCAGCAGCGCCAGCTCACAGGGGGCGACCTAGGTTGCCATAGAGGTCAGGCCTGCGGTGCTGGAACACAGGCAGGTGTTGGCGCAGCTGTCGCAGGTAACCAAGGTCGATTCGGGCAAGGCAGAGGCCTGGTCCCTCAGAGCAGCGGGCCACCACCGTTCCCCAGGGGTCCACCACCATGCTGTGGCCGTAACTCGCTCTCTTCTCGTGATGGCGTCCACACTGAGCTGCTGCCACAACGTAGCACTGGGTTTCGATGGCACGGGCCCGCAGCAGCACCTGGGGAGACGTGTGGCAGCTGGTGTGTGTGGGGGCGTGCTAGGCCAACCTACCCGTGGTGACCAGCTGTAATCGCCAAGGACTGATGCATGGTACTGACTACTGAGCACACGAGAGGGAGGCAGCGGTTTAGGAGTGAGTTTCCCAACCAGCTGAGAAGGCAGAGAAAATTTAACCTGTCGGGCCGAGGGAAAAGGTCGAGAGAAGGCCCGAGAGTCCTGATGGGGCACTCTTACCTCCCAGTGGGCCGGACCTGTCACAGATCCGAAAGCTGAGGGGTAGGTAAGTATTTCTGCTCCAGCCTGAGCCAGTGCCAGAGAGAGTTCAGGGAACCGCATGTCGTAGCAGATAGCCAGACCCACCTGGAATGAAAGAACTGTCCTGTCTGTCATAGCATCTAGCCACACCCCCTACCCTGCTCCTTGGGACGTTCCATGAGTGACCACGTCGCGGTACTCCTGTCCCGACCCTCTGGTTCCCCTTCCCCCTCCCCTCACTGCCCTCACCTGGCCCGCTGGTGTCCTGACGGGCAGCTCGAGCCTGGGCCCGGGCATGGTGGAGTTGCTCTCACGCATGGGCCCCTGCCCTGGAATCTCCACGTCACACAGGTGTGTCTTCCTGTAAGTGGCCACTACTGACCCTAGAGGAGGAAGGAGAAGAGATAATTGATGCTGGTGCTCTAGAAGCCCAGTTTAGCCCCTCTGCTCCCAAGGAGGAGCCCTTGGCCATGGAAATGGAGTTAAGAAAACAATTCTGGAGAACCTTCGTTTAGGCAGAAGAGCTTGGCGAGAGGCAAACGAAAGCGTTGGGAGGTCTCACCCTCGCTGTCCAGGAGCACGTGGCAATTGTAGATTTTCTGAGTCTGCTCCCAGTCGTGGCCACGCTCGTGGAAACCGCCCAAGGACAGCCAGAGTCCACATTCCCTGGGTGAGGGGTGGACACTGGCACTCTTCCCAAAGCTCCACCCTCACACCCCGCAATCCAGACACTGCCCAACAAAGAAGACCCCTCCCCCTTTTCCTGATACCTGGCAAGCTGGGCATATTCTCCCAAAAGTGCCCCTCCCAGCGGCTCAGACAGGTGTAGAGTCTCCGCAGGGTCCCGTGCAATGAAGTCAAATGCCTCTGGCAGGAAAGCCAGGCAAGCACCCAATCGGGCAGCCTCTCGAACCAGCTCAGCACAAGCTTTAAAGTTCTGCTGCTTGTCTGGTGTGGATGTTACCTGGCACACAGCCACCAGGGGCATTTCCCAGGAGGAAGAGAAGTTAGCCATGGCTCTGGGTCTGTGAATGGTGCAGGTGGGACTCAGGTTTCCCAGCGTGGGGAAACCCAAGTTCAATAGCAAGGGGCTCAAGCGGGGAGCAGGAAAGCTGGGCTTCCCTTTGGTTCTGTGCTCACAATGACCTACCCATCAAATGTCTGGTGGATGGTAGGTACCCCACTGTTTCCCATCACCATTCATTTAGTATTTATTGAGCATCTACTATGTGCCAGGCACTGAGGATACAAAACATGTTACCTGGACCGAGCACAGAGTACTGAGCGTTGAGGTATCCGCAGTCCGGGCCACAGAAGGGACAGGTGGTGAGGAGCTCTGACCAGGAAGCTGAGCCTGAGGAAGGCAAGAGACGAGGCTCAACCCCTCCCTCATGCAACACTTCCAGAGTTCTCTGACTTCTCGCTTCACACCATGAGGCTGAACTGAGGCCCTGCCCGTGAAGAACCCACCCCCAACAATCTTCCAAACACTCTTTAAGTAATTATGGGCCACAGGAAGAGACGATGAGATGGGAAGACAGAAGTCACCTGTACTTCCAGCGACCTCGCATTGACCTGAAGCCCTGTCCTCTGCCAAGCTCTTGCAGCTCAAAAGGCACCTTCCAGCAACTTCCCCGCCCCTTCCCCTCTGGACCGTGCACCTGCACAGCTGGATCGCATACCCAGGATCTTTGCGGTACCCCGACCCCACCGCCGATCGCGCCCCGCACCCCTCTCTGCTCAGCCCGCCCCCACCCCGGGGTGGTGTCTCCGTGGCACATGTGAAGGCACCGCTGGTGGGAGTCACCACGCCCGCCGCTCGGGGAGCAAGTCCTACATGTAGACACAGCCAGCACCATCCGACGTGGAGAGCGTACGAGGGGGGGGGCGGGGGATAGAGTTCCGAGCGAGGAGGCGGAGCCCCGCTTCCGGAAGTGACCTAAGCGCCGCGCCGCGCCGCGCCGCGCGCCGGAAGCCCCGCAAGCGGCGAAGATGGCGGAAAGCAGCGGTCGCGCCGGCAAGAGCAGCGGGAGCGGCGCGGGGAAAGGGGCGGTGTCGGCCGAGCAGGTGAGCTGCGGAGAGGGCGCCAGAGGGCAGCCCGCTGGGTCCAGAGAGGGCCCCCGCAGCTGCCGCAGGTTTTCTCTCCAGGCCCGCGTTCGCATGGGCACCGGGGCGGGCAGGGTCCTGGAGAAGCCCGCGGGGCCCGGAGGGCCCAGAAAGCCACGCCCCTCGGGTGCTGGGAGAGCCCCCGAGAAGGGAGCCCTGAGATGCAGGGTCTGGAAAGACGCCCGGATCTGGTGGGAGCTGGGTCCACGCTCTCCCTACTTCTCCGCAGCCCGCGACAGGCCGTGGCTGGGCACGGCCGCTCGTAAGGAAACCCAGGGGATTAGTCTGGGGCTGGCCGTGGAGTCGGCTACCTGACCCCGAAAGTAAGTGGACAGTCGCCGTCACTGCAGAGCCACGTGACGCACACACTGCATAAGTCCTGCGTTTTTACTACTTTGATTTCAGGAATCATTAGATTGAATTTCTTTAGAGATCAAAAACCCTTTTCTAAACCGAGTTTGCATTTCCTTCCAGTGCCTAACATCGGGAAACATTTTATAAATTAATCAGAAAGCCCTTTGTGCTTGGGCACCATGGTTTGCTAACCTTGGCTAGTGTTTAACAGAGATGAAAAGAAATCTACATAAGAGAAAGGAAAGCATAATTAAACAATAGCTCTTTTAATTATGGATTCTTTTACCAGTTATTTGTTGAACAGTTACAGAGGCAAAGGTATTTGCATGAGGGTTTTTAAAACTGCCCCTTCCTTGCCATCAAACAGTTCTAGTCTGTTTGGGGAAAGTAAGCCATACAAAATGGTAATATGAAGCAGAAGAGGTATAAAGTGCTATAGGATTTTGAGGAGGGAGGAAGAGAGTTTTGGACAGGAGAAAAAGGAAAGGGAGAGGAACCTAATGCTTTTTGAGTTTCTGCCATGTGCCAGACACTCTGCTGGGTACTGGGAAACAGAAGAAGGAAACAGACCTTGTTGTAAAGTTAGCTCACAGACCCCTTTGAGAAAAGACAAACCAAGCCATAAGATTGACAGCGTCCCACACAGGCCCTTATTCGTGGCAGGTGGTGGAGGGACCCCTAGTGAGCATGAGGTTATGGGATTGGGGCAGGAGGAGGTGGGAAAGGGAAGCTGTGTAAGGCGGCGGGGGGGCGGGGGGGGGCTGTGACCATAGGAAGTGCACTGGGATCAGACACACGTGTGTGTGAATCACATTTCTACTATTCACTGTCTGCGACCACCCAGGAGTTACTACTGCTCTTGCCCTTTCCCTCCTGTTAAGACTTAACGGTCCCTGGCTCATCACTGCGTTGTGATTATGAGGCAAGACAATGCATTCAGAGTGTTCTGCCCAGCGACCAGCATGCAGTGTGTTTGTAAGTGTATTTTGTCCTCTAGAAGAAGTGCTCTTTCAGTGCAGTTCTAAAGGATGAGAGCAGTTAGTCAAGCAAGGAAGGAAGTGGAGGGTTTTCAAGGTGGAGGGGACCGTGTGTCTGAAAGCACTCAGGCACAAAGCTGCCTGATGTGTGTGGGAGGCAGGTAGACTCAAGTTTTGGAATGGACTGCCAGACTTGGATGTGAAGAAAAAGGGATACAAGGAATCTAGGATGTTTTTCAGGTTTCTGTCTTCGGTGGATGCTGGTGCCATCGGGACTATAAGAAGATGAACAAGTTTGTGGGGAGAAAATAAGATTATTGTAGGATTTTAAGTTAGGGCTTCCTGTGGGACATCCAGGTAGAGACATGTAGTAAGTGGTTAGATGTATAAATCTTGAGTTACAGGAAGAAATCTGAGTTGGAGCTATAGGTTAGAGAATTCTGAGCTTGTAGATGGTAGACAAAGCCATGGTTATGGATGAAATCATCTAGGGTTTGTTCAGAAAGTGGAAAAAGAAGCAAACGGTCGTGGAGAAAGGGAATCCCTCAGAAGAGACTGAGGAATTGTGATAATTGAGTTTTGAGACTATGGAGATCACTGGGTGAAAAATACAAGATTTCTGGTTGCTGCAAATTTGAGCCACAGCGAGATGGAAGCAGTAACACATTGTGCTGGACACTGGACTTGTATATCTTCTGTCACTTAACGACTGCCACTTGAAGTAGGGTGTGGTGTCCTGTGAGTTTTCAGAGGCTTTGCTTAACTTACCGAAAGCGTCTGGAAGAGCACGGCTTTCCACTGAGGGACTGGACAGTCAGACCTGTTTGGGTTTTTGTTTTTTTTTAAGATTTTATTTATTTATTTTTTAGAGAGGGAAGGGAGGGAGAAAGAGAGAGAGAGAAACATCAATGTGCGGTTGCTGGGGGCTGTGGCCTGCAACCCAGGCATGTGCCCTGACTGGGAATTGAACCTGCTACACTTTGGTTTGCAGCCTGCGCTCAATCCACTGAGCTACGCCAGCCAGGGCTCGGGCTTTTTTTTTTTTTTTTTTCACTCACAGGATCACATCAGTGAGATTGGAGTTGAGCCTGAGGACTGGGTGCTTTTGAATGGGGGCCGGTAGAACTAGGGTGAGTGGGGGAGAGCTGGGAAGGCCTAGGTGGACATGAAGTGCAGTGACTGTTTGGTTAAATCATGGTGTGTGCATTAGGAAAAGGTCCTGAAAGTAAATTGAATCTTTGCATGGCAAAGATTTTGGGACATCTTAACTTTTGTTTTTAAATCCTCACCAGAGGACATGCTTACTGATTTTAGAGCTGGGGGGGGCGGGCGGAGAGAGAGGGAAAGAAGCATCGATCGGTTGCCTCTGCACGTGCCCTGACTGGGGATGGCTGCTGCAACCCAGGCTTGTGCCCTTATTGGGAATCAGACCTGCGCCCTTCCGGTTCACAGGGTTTGCTCTGGCCAGGGCAAATTTGGGACTTTTAATGTGAACAGTGAGGCAGTCACAGGAGGATATGTTGTACTGTTGATTTGTTTTCTGTTACAATGTGAAATATGTGCGTTGTGGAAAATGTAGAAAACTCAGGAAAAGCAACAAAATAAGAAATAAATTACCCATGATCTTGCTATCGCGAGAGAACTATTCTTATTGTTTTGGAGTATATTTGAGATTATACGGACCCTTAATGGGTTTGTATGTGTGTAGATGAAAGGGGAGGAAATGTATGTTTTACATATTTACGTATTTTATAAAATTAGCATTATACAACGTATACTGTTTTGTCATCTGCTTTTCAAGCCTAGTAGCGTATCGTGAACATTTTTGTATGTCACCAAGTATTAGGAAAGTTAAAATGACACCGGTGTACGGGGTGGATGTGGGGAGTCCAAGAACAGGGAGACGGTTTGGAAGACTGCGGCAGTGGTTGAGGCGAGAAGTAATGAGGCCTGGACCAGGGGGGTGTCAGTGAGCCCGAGAAGATTGCTGAGGTAGGTGCAGTAGATTCGGCTGTTGACCGGAAAGAGTGTGTTCAGAGTGGAAGCAGGGTTTTCTGCCTGGAGGGCTAGAGCGGTGTCTGTAGCAGAAGTAAGGGAGACAGGGAGAGGAACCGTTTAAAATGGGGTAAAGGAGGATCAACTCGGCTCTGAGTGACCTGAGTTTAAGGTATGTATCCGCAGGGCACTTAGGCATGATGTTCTGTAATAATAGCAGCTGCTGCTTATTGACGATCTGCTATATGCTGGGTGGACTGGGAGAGGCCAGCAGGGACCAGGTCTTCATGGGACTTCTTTCTGCTGTGTGGAGTTTGGGTTTTATCCTGATGTGAGCGGTGGGAGCCATTGAAGGTTTGGGTATAGGGGTAATGTGGTGAGATTTAAATTCTAGGTCAGTTGTGCTGCGTTCTGGACAGTGGGTCGAGGGGCACACCTGGAGGCAGTGCAGAACTGGGGCGGGCTTGCTGGGGGACAGCCGGCACCTGGGGGAGGGGACACGGACGGAAGCGCACGGATTGTGAGTATTTGGCAGGGGTGGCTTAGACATCCAGTGGGTGTGCATAGTGTGGGGTCAAGATCTTTCCTACTTAAAAATCATTAAGTTGAACATAATAAAAGCACCATTAGGTCTCTGGGGAAAGACGTACAGCGATAACATTGCTGGTACCACCATAGACTCATCTGTCCATCTTGAGGGAGCTTCACAGCAGTGTGCAAGGAGGCTGAAGTCTCAGGTTACCACCTTTTTGACTCATTTGTCTTACTCTTGGGAGTATGATTCAAGAGATGGATGTGAAAAAAATTTAAATTATATTGTATTGATTATACTATTAAGTTATCCTGGTTTTCCCCCTTACCCCCCTCCACCCAGCACCCTCACTCCCTCAGGCAATGCCCCCACCACCATTGCTCATGTCCACAGGTTGTGCCTGTGAGTTCTTTGGCTTCTCCGTTTCCTACACTGTACTTCACATCCCCATGGTTATTCTGTAACTACCTATTTGTACTTCTTTTTTAGAAATATTTTTTCATTTACTTATTTAGATTGTATTTATTTGCTTTTAGAGAAAGGGGAAAAGGGAGGGAGAGAAACATCAATATGTGGTTGCTTCTCACATGCTCCCGACTGTGGACCTGGCTGGCAACCCAGGCATGTGCCCTGACTGGGAATCAAACCGGTGACCTTTGGGTTTGCAGGCTGGCACTCAGGCCACTGAGCCACAGGAGCCAGGGCCCTATTTGTACTTTGTAATCCCCTCACCTCTCACCCATTCCCCCACACCCTCCTCCCATGTGGCAACCATCAAAATGCTCTCTGAGTCCACGATTCTGTTTCTGTTCTTGTTTGCTTAGTTTGTTTTTTTTTTTCACTCAGTTGTTGATAGGTATGTATTTATTTCCATTTCATTGTTCATAGTTTTGATCTTCCTTAAATAAGTTCCTTTAATATTTGATATAATAATGGTTTGGTGATGATGACCGCCTTTGAAATTTCCTTGTTTGGGAAGCTCCTTTTCTGCCCTTTGATGCTAAGTGATAGCTTTGCTGGGTAGAGCAATCTTGGATATGGGTCCCTTTCTTTTCATGACTTTGAGTATTTCTTGCCAACCCTTTCTAGCCTGCAAAGTTTCT